CTTAGAAATCAATAATAGGAAGATCAAGGAAAAAACATCAAATGTGGAAGCTGAACAATTCACTACTCAAAAACTACTGGGTAACAGAATAAAAAGTGAACTAAAAAAAATTACTAGAAACAAACGAGAATGAAGATACATCATACCAAAACCTATGGGACACAGCAAAAGCAGTACTCAAAGAGGTCAGTTTATAGCAATAAATGCATACATCAAAAAAGAGGAAAGAAACAAAACCAATACTCTAAGTCAACAACTTCAACAACTAGAAAAAGAACAACAAAAGAACCTTACAGTATCTAGAAGTAAGGAAATAATAAAGATTAGAGCACAAATAAATGAAACAAAAACAAAAAACATAGAGAAAATCAAGAAAACAAAAAGCTGGTTCTTTCAAAAGATTAACAAAATCGATAAACCATTGGCAAATTAACAAAAGAAAAGAGAGAGAAGATGCACATTATAAGAATAGTAAACGAAAAGGTGTCATCACAACAGAACCAACTGAAATAAAAAAGATACTGACAGAATATTATGAAAAACTGTACTCCAACAGATTTGAGAACCTAGAAGACATAAGACAATTTTCTACAATCACAAAACCTATCTAAACTATCCCACTCAGCAATAGAATACTTGAACAGACCCATAATAAAAGGAAAAATTGAGGTCATAAAAAAAAAAAAACTCCCCACAAAGAAATGTCCTGGCCCTGATGGCTTCACTGGAGAATTTTACCAAATACTCAGAGAAGAGCGGACACCTATACTACTCAAGCTGTTCCAGAACATAGAAAAAGATGGAATACTCCCAAACTCATTTTATGAAGCAAGTATAACACTAATATCAAAACCAGGGAAAGACACCACTAAAAAGGACAACTACAGACCAATATCCCTCATGAACATAGATGCGGAAAACTTCAGCAAAATCCTAGCCAACAGAATCCAACAACATACCAAACAAATAATAACATCCTGACCAAGTGGGATTCATACCAACTATGCAAGGGTGGTTTGACATCAGAAAAACAATCAGTGTAATTCACTACATAAACAAAACAAAAGAATCATATGATTATATCAATTGATGCAGAAAAGGCATTTGATAAAATCCAACACTTGTTCCTGTTCAGAATTCTCAGCAAAATAGAGATAGAAGGGAAATTCCTCAACATAGTAAAAGGCATATATGCAAAGCCAACATCCAACATCATTATTAATGGAGAAAGACTCAAGACATTCTTCTTAGAGACAAGAACCAGACAGGGATGCCCTCTGTTACCACTTCTATTTAACATTATATTGGAAGTTCTGGCCAGGGCAATAAGGCAAGAACAAGAAATAAAAGGCATACAAATTGGCAAAGAGGAAGTAAAACTATCTCTATTTGCGGACAATATGATCCTGTACATAGAAAACCCAAGGGACTCGACAAAACAACTACTGGAACTAATAGAGAGGTTCAGCAAAGTGGCAGGATGCAAAGTGGCAGGTTAACATCCGAAATCGGTTGGATTCCTCTACTCCAACAAAAAGTCCTCTGATAAAGAAATAAGGGAAACAATACCATTTACAATTGTTGTTGTTGTTGTTATGTGCCCTCGAGTCGGCCCCGACTCATAGCGACCCCTCCTTGGTTTTCTGAGGCAGTATCACTACGGAAGTAGGATTGCTCCTTCCGAGGAGTGGCTGGTGGGTTTGAACCGCCAGCCTTCTGGTTAGCAGTCAAGTGCTTTAGCCACTATGCTACCAGAGGTCCTAAAAAGATAAAATATCTATGAATAAACTTTACCAGAGACACAAAAGACCTATACAAAGAAAACTATAAAACACTACTACAAGAGATAAGGGCACTACATAAATGGAAGAACCTGCCTTGTTCATGGATAGGTAGACTGAATATTATGAAAATGTCAATACTACTATTGTGAAAATGGCAGTGTACACATTTAATGCAATCCTGATCCAGATACCAACACAATTTTTTAAGGACATGGAAAAACCAATTACTAACTTCATATGGAAAGAAAAAAGACCTTGGATAAGGAGAGCATTTCTGAAGAAGAAGAACAAAGTGGAAGGTCTCACACTGCCGGATCTTAAAGCCTACTATACTGCCACAGTATTCAAAACAACGTGGTATTGGTACAATGATAGACAGATAGACCAATGGAACAGAATTGAAAGTCCAGATATAGACCCATCCATCTGTGGACAGCTGATTTGGACAAAGGTCCAAAACCCATTAAATGGGGAAGAGATAGTCTCTTTAACAAATGGTGCTGGCAGACTGGATGTCCACTTGCAGAAAAATGAAACAGTTTATACCATACCTCACCCCATACACAAAACAAACTCAAGCTGGATCAAAGACTTAAATGTAAAAGCCAAAACTATAAAATTCATCAAAGATAAAATAGGGGCAAATCTGGGGGCCCTAATTTATGTCATAAATAGACTATCAAGCGTAACCCAGAATGCACAGGAGGTAGAAGAGAAACTAGATGACTGGGACTTTTAAAAATTAAATTCTTATGCCCATTGAAAGACTTCGTCAAAAAGGTAAAAAGAGAACCTACAGATTGGGAGAAAATATTTGCCTATGACATACCTGATAAAGGATTTACCTCCAAAATATATAGAAAACTTCAACACCTCAACACCAAAAAGACAAATAATTCATAAATGGGCAAAAGACTTGAACAGACACTACACCCTAGATGATATACTGGTGACCACCAAACACATGAGGAATTACTCATGATCATTAGTCATTAGGGAGATGCAAATTGGAACAACAATGAGATATCTCACCTCAGCAATAAGAGCAAAATTCAACAGGACAGAAAATAAATGCTGGCGAGGTTGCGGAGAGATTGGAACTCTTGTGCACTGCTGGTGGGATTGTAAAATGGTACAACCTTTGTGGCATGCAGTATGGCATGGTTTTTTCCTTAAAAAAAAACTGGAAATAGAAATACCATTTGACCCAGCAATTCCATTACTAGGAATATATCCTAAAGAGGTGAGAGATAGTGCACGAATAGACATATGCACACCTACGTTCATTGCAGCACAATTCACTATAGCAAAGAGATGGAAACAGCCTAAATGCCCATCAGTGGATGAGTGGATAACCAAATTATGATATATGCACACAATGGAATACTGTGCTACATTAAAAAACAATGGGATACATGAATCATTTCACAGTGTGGATAAGCCTGGAGGACATTATGCTGAGTGAAATAAGTCAATTCCAAAAGGACAAGAACTGTATGAGCCCATTACTGTAAAAAGACAAAGAAAGGTTTGCTTGGGAAAGGGAACTCACTTTGTAGGTTACTGGGGTGGGGAGGGATTAATTTTGGTATAGTTGAGGCCCACACACTGACGTAGGTAAGGGAAGGGATGTATGGAGAGTCTGTGACATTAGGAGAGTCTGATAACATTAGGAAAAGGGAGGACACCGAATTGTACACATAGGAGATAGATGACAGATGCTAATACCAACCAGTATGCCCACAATACTGCATTACCATTAACACCAAACACCAGGCTATGGATAAACACATAAACACCTGAGAGGATCAGATGGGGGTCAGTGAACAGGACTATACTCTAGACCAAGGATAGATTCAGCTGAGGCTAATCTTGCACAGATACCAGTGATACAGAATATCAGCAATCCTTAGAGAAACAACAGAAGACTGACACAGAGTAATCCCTCACAGACAACCAGACACTATGGGAGAGAGATCCAACAGATTTACCATCTCAGGACCATAGTACTGGGGACACCAGACTCAGTTGGCACAACAAAATACATAAAAAATCTTGTTCCTCATCCTACATTGGTGAGTAGCGACTGGGGTCTTAAAAGCTTTCAAGCAGCCATCTGAGATGCAGCTAATGGTCTCCTATCATCAGAAGCGAAGAAGAGTGCAAAACAACAAGGGCACTTGGAAGCAATCAGCCCTAGGACATGATGGCCCTTGAGACCAGAAGAACTAGATGGTACCCGGCTACCAAGCCAATCACTGAGGAAAGGATAAAATCTGGAGACCTGGATAGAGTGGGAGGAAAAATGTGGAACAAAATCCAAACACTCAATAATGACCAGAATTCCTGGTGGCATGGAGTCTGGTAAGACCCCCAATACTATGGTCGTGGGATACATTCTGGCCTGGAATAAAGCTCACTCCCAAGGGCTGGCTTTCAGCCTAATAGTAAACAAGATGTACATGCAGACACTCAACCCAGGGTGACACACCCACATACTCTATGGTAATGCAGCCCTTGGAGTAGTTGACCACAGGGCACCAGAGGGGCAACATTCACAGGGAGGAAATGCAGGACAAACAGGAGTGTATAACTGTGAGGGGTACTGGGGGAGGGTTACTGAGCAGGGAGGTGAGGAGACTGAGTTAGGGTTGGGCATGGTAAATGGTGAGGGAAACTAAATGTACACGTAATGTTGAATGTAAAACAAACTCTTAAAATAAAAAATTAAATAGTAATTTTATTTATTTATACTGAGTCTAATAGATTTATTATTTAGTACTTTTTGAGTCAATTTTGGTAATTTATGGCTTTCTGGAAATTTTTATATTTTATACAAACCAAAAAAAAAAACCTCACTGCTGTCAAGTCAATTAGACTCATAGCAACCCCTCCTTGAGTTTCCAAGGCTATATCTTTATGGAAGTAGATTGCCCAACCTTCCTTCCAAGGAGTGGCTGGTGGGTTTGAATCACCAGCCTTCTGGTCAGCAGTCTAAATTTTGTTGTGGAATAGATAATATGTTTTACAATACTTTTAATTTTTGTATCGTCTATAGTGATAGTTACAGATTTTGGAAATTTTTGTATTCTCTTTTTTTTTGGGTCATTTTAGCTAAATGTTTATTAGTTTTGTTTATCTTTTTTAAGAATTACCTCTTATTATTAGTTATGATATAGTACATTTAGACATTTTCTTCTTAAACATTTTATTTAGGGAACTATGATGTGATACCTCCAATGGTTGATATACTTATGAAACTTTTTCGAAATATGGTGAATGTGAAGATGCCATTTCACCTTACCCTTCTAAGTGTGTGTTTCTGCAATCTTAAATCATTGCAAACTGCTAAGAAAGGAACTATTGACTATTATTTAACATCAACATTATCAACAACTTCACACTCTGGCAAACACAGTTTCGTAAGTATACTCTTTTTTCTTTCTTTTTTTTTTTTTAAAGTTTTGTAAGTATGCTCTTACTAGAATTGTAGGGCTAAGGTACAAATCTAAGTTTGGTTTAACTGATGTAATTTAGAGATTGTTTTTGGTGAAATTATTTGAATGATTTACTAGTTTATAGTATCTCTCATACATTGTTTTGTTCAGCTTTTACATGTATATGAGGTGATTCAACAAGGTCAGGCACACTTAAGTCATCGATTGCTTTTTACAACTTTAAAGGGGTCTTTTGCAGCAGATTTGCTCAGGGCACTATATCATTTGATGTTTCAAGTGTTGTATCCATGGAGTCAGTAATGTTGATCCACGTAGAATGAAATCCTTGTCAACTGTAGTTCTTTTCCATTTTTCATGATGTTGTTTATTGGTCCATTGTGAGGATTTTTACTTTCTTTATATTCAGGCATAATCTATACTGAAGGCTGTAGTCTTTTATTTACATCAGTAACTGCTTCAAGTCTTCTTAGTTTTCAGCAAGCAAAGTTGTATCATCTGCACATCTCAAGTTGTTAGTAAGTCTTCTTACAATCCTGATGCCATGTTTTTCTTCATATAGTCCAGTTTCACAGATCATTTATTTGTTCAGCTTACAGATTGAATAAGTAAGGTGAAAAACACTGCCACACACCTTTTCCAATTTTGAACCATCTAGTATCTCCTTGTTCTGTTCAAATGACTGACTCTTGATTGAAGTGTAGTTTCTGTATGAGCATAATTAAGTGTTCTGGAATTCTCATTCTTGGTAATGTTGTCCATAATTTGTTATAGTCCACACATAAATGCTACATTCAAATTTTGATGTAAAGAATATTGAATATACCATTGACTTCCAAAAGAACAAACTAGTCTTAGAAGAAATAAAACCAGAATGTGCCATAGAACCAAAGTGAGATTTTTACTCACTTCCTTTGGCTACATCATCAGGAAAGACAAATCACTAGAAAAGTACATCACACTTGGTAGAGGGTCAGCAAAAATGAGAGAAAGCCTCAATGAGATGATTTGACACAATAGCCACAACAGTGGACACAAACATATCAGTGATCATGAAGGTAGCACAGGAATGGGCAGTGTTTCCTTCTGATATACATAAGGTTGCTACCAGTTGGAGTCTACTTGCAACTAACAAGAACAACATATATTACATTTACTCGTCTTAACTCTATGTAATATGATCAAGGAAGAAGATATAAGAATTGCTATGTAAACGCATACCCATGTTCATAGCAGCACTATTTACAATAGCAAAAAGATGGTACATACACACAGTGGAATACTATGCAATCCTAAAGAAAAATGTAGAATCAGCAAAACACCGCATAATGTGGATGAACTTGGAGGACATTATGCTGAGTGAAATAAGACAACCACAGAAGGACAAATATTGTATTAGTCCGTTATTGTAAAAAGTCAAGGAAAGGTTTATATATGGAAGGAAATTTTCTTTATTGGTTACCAGGGGTGGGAGGGGAGGGGAGGGAACACTGTTAGATAGTTAGAGATAAGTATTGATTTGGGTGAAGAGAAGGGCAATGTACCAAATGTGAGCGATCAACATGGTGGCATCGAGGAAGAGGAAGACAGAGAGAAGTACATGGGAGTTGCAGACAATAGAGATGAACCCTTTTGAACATATAGTACTGCATTGTCAGTGAAGACAAACAGGTATATGGGTGGATAGATGGGTGGACAGGCTGAACTATTAGGTATGTCTAAGCAGGGGGGAGTGTGCCCAAGACCATATACAGGGTTGGCAGACAATGGTTCTACAAGTGTATTAGTATATTCTGTAAGAATTCCCAGGTGTATAGTAGATCTGACAGAGCATAAGGTTGTAGTCACTTCTTGGTCACAGCCAGCTACCCGGAGGGAGCAAGTAGTTGAACCTGTGGGCTTGGGACCATAGTCACAGGGGACATCAAGCTCAGTTGGCATAACATACTACACAGAACAATGTTCCACATCCTACTTTGGCGAGTAGCGACTGGGATCTTAAAAGCTTGCAAGCTGCCATCTAGATGCAACGATGGGTCTCTCTTCATTCCAGAGCAAAGAAGAATGAAGAAAACCAAAGACTGATGGAAAGAATTAGTCCTTGTGACTGGTACACCATGCGATCCGCAGCCTACATGACTATGCAACCAGAAGAACTAGATGGTGCCCGGCTACCACTGTCAACCACTTGGAAGGGGATCTATGTAGGTGATCCTAGATAGAGAGGGAGAACAATGTGGAACAAAGCTCAAAATCATTTGGAAAAAAAAAAAAGCGTGTGTAGGGAGGCCAGGTTTGCTGGTCTGATAGAGACTGGTGGAACCACTGAGACTATGGCCCCTAGCTGTCCTTCAGGTCTGGAATTGAACCCACACCTATGGCTTCCAGCCAAACAAAAGACAGGCATATGAGTTGAACGAGGTAGATACACTCCTTGGTGAGAACAATCATGGGACAAACAAGGGATGTTTATGTACAGGGAGACAGCTCAGGGGGCAGGAGTGCATGGAAGGATGGAGGTAACTATCAAGTGGAAGTGGGAGGGGAGCTGTTGCATTGGGGTAAATTGTAGTCAATGTCATGAGACAAAGTGTATGCGAACTGCTGTATGGAAAGTGAATTTGCTCTGTAAACTTTCACCCAAATCATAATTTTAAAAAAAAATTAAAAAAAGAATCAGAACATGGAATGCACAAAGTATGAATGTAGGAAAATTGGAAGTTGTAAAAAATGACATGGAACACGAAAAGATCAATATATCCTAGACATTAGACAGCTGAAATGGACTGGTATTGGCCATTTTGAATCAGACATTCGTATTTTCTACTGTGTCAGGAATGACAGATTGAAGAGGAATGGCATTGTATTCATCGTCAAAAAGAACATTTCAAGATCTATCCTGAAGTACAATGCTGTCACTGATAGGATAATATCCAAATGCCTACAAAGGAGACTAGTTAGTACTATTATTATTCATATTTACATACAAATCACTAAAACCAAAGATGAAGAAATTGAAGATTTTTACCAGCTTCTGCAGTGTGAGATTGACCAAACATGCAATCAAGATATTTTGATAATTACAGGTGATTGGAATGTGAAAGTTGAAAATGAAGAGGCATTGGTAGTAGGAAAACATGGCTTTGGTGATAGAAATGATGCTGGAGATCTCATGATAGAATTTTGCAAGACCAATGACTGACTTACTGCAAATACCATTTTTTTTAACAACGTAAATAGCAACTGTGCCTGTGGACCTCACCAGATTTGCACTTGGTGGTATCAAATAGACAACATCTGTGGAAAGAGGTGATAGAGTAGCTCAGTATTATCAGTCAGAACAGGGTCAGGAGCTGACTGTGGAACAGATCACCAACTGCTCATTTGCAAGTTCAAGTCGAAGCTTAAGAGAATTAAAACAAGTTCACAAAAGCCAAAATATGACCTTGATTATATCCCAGTTGAAGTTAGAGACCATCTGAATAGATTTGATGCATTGAACACCAGTGGCTGAAGATGAACCAAGTTATGTGATGACATCAAGAACATCCTACATGAAGAAAGCAAAAGATCTTTAAAAAGACAAGAAAGGAGGAAAAGACCAAAATGGGTGTCACATGAAGACTCTGAAACTTGCTTTTGAACATGAGAGTAGCTAAAGCAAATGGAAGAAATGATAAAAGACCTGAACTAAAGATTTCAAAGGCCAGCTTGAGAAGACAAAATAAAATATCACAAGGACATGTTCAAGGACCTGGAGTTAGAAAACCAAAAGGGAAGAACATGCTCTGCATTTCTCAGGCTGAAAGAACTGAAGAAAAAATGGAAGCCTCAAATTGCAATATTGGATTCTGTGGGCAAAATACTGGATGATGCAGGAAGCCTCAAAAGATGGAAGGCATACGTAGAGTCACTGTACCAAAAAGAATTGGTTGATGATCTGCCATTTCAGGAGGTAGCATATGATCAAGAAACAGTGGTATGGAAGGAAAACTCCAGGTGCACAGAAGGAATTGACAGAATACCCATTGAGATGTAACAAACAGATGCAGCACTGGAGGTGCTTACTTGTGTATGCCAAGAAATTTGGAAGACAGATACCTGGCCAAATGACTGGAAGAGATCCAGATTTGTGCCCTTTCCAAAGAAAAGGTGATCCAATAGAATGTGTAAATTACTGAACAGTGTAATTAGTATCACACACAAGTGAAATTTTGCTGAAGATGATTAAAAAATGATTGCAGCAGTATATTGACAGGGAACTTCCAGAAATGCAAGTTCAATTTAGAAGAGGATGTGGAACGAGGGATATCATTGCTGATGTCAGATAGATCTTGGCTGAAAGCAAAAACATACCAGAAAGATGTCTACCCATGTTTTATTGACTATTGCAAAGGCATTCGTTGGACTCTGTGGTTCATAACAAATTATGGGTAACATTGCAAGGAATGGGAATTCCAGAACACTTAATTGTGCTCCTGACAAACCCGTACATAAACCAAGAGGCAGTCGTTAGAACAGAACAAGGGGATTCTGCATGGTTTAAAATCAGGAAGGCTGTGCGTCAGAGTTGTTTCCTTTCATCATACTTATTCAGTCTCTATGCTGAGAAAATAATCTGGGAAGCTGGGCTATATGAAGAAAGCAGCATCAGGATTGGAGGAAGTCTCATTAACATCCTGCAATATGCAGATTACATGATCTTGACTGATGAAACTTAAGACTTGAAGGCACTTAGTGATGCAAATTATTTTAATCTCTGACTTCTATTTATTAACTGTAATTTTAAAAGGCATTTTTTCTTTTTAATCTATAGAAGGGGATTAAAGGTCCCTAGTTTATCAGAGGTGTTAGAGGACTAAATATAAGTGAAATCACCTTGTGTATGTCTGGCACACAATGGAAGCTTAATAAATATTTTGGCCTTAATCCCTTCTCCTTTCTTTCTTTCTTTTTTTTGCAATTACTATGAGTCGGGGCCGACTTGATGGCACATAACAACAACAACAACATTGGGTTGATGTTTACTGAGTTAAATTTGGCTGTGTGTACATTTTTATATTGCTTAAAACTAGAGGGGAAAATTTAGTGAAAAACTTTACATAGAAAAATTATACAACTAGAATTGAAGACTTTTTAAAATTTTCATGTCAGGTAAGGATAAACTCATTACATCTTAATATTGATGTTGGATTTTTACTATAGAGGTATTTTTTCTTTCTGTTAAATGTTACACTTCAGAATAATAATTTTTAGAAAACCTTTCCTTGATAGGCCGTGCATACATTTTTATATATTTATTTTTTTTAAATGCTTTTAGGCTAGTCATTCTTCTAAGGAGCTCTGGTGGTGTAGTACCTAAGGCATTTGACTGCTAATCAGAAGGCTGGTGGCTCAAACCTACCAGCCACTCCGTGGAAGGAAGACTGAGCAATCTACTTCTGTAAAGATTTAATAATAATAACAATAATAATTCTTCTAGGGTATCTTTTTCTATTCACAGAATTAGAAGTTTCAGTACATGATTATTAAGGTCTTTTCCAGGTTCCAAATGCATTCTTAAGTTCTGGCTCTGTGCCATCTAAGAAGGAAACCTCTTCTTAGAGAACAAAGATTCATATGGTAATTACTGATTGTTTTGGTTTAATCATCTCTAAAACTCACTGCAGTCCCTCCTTGGGTTTCCGAGGCGGTATCTCTACGGAAATAGATTGTCCAGTCTTCCTTCTGAGGAGTGGCTGGTGGATTTGAACCATAGCCTTCTTTAGTAGTCAGATGCTTTAGGTACTATAGGAACTGAGCAAAAAGAATTAAAGTTGTTCAGTATGTCAGAAACATCTTGTCAGATAATAGCTACAAACACACTTCAGGAGCATGGATACTAAAGGAATATCAGATATCTGAATGACTCTTTTATCTTTGTATTCTAGACAACGAAAGACACTCATGCAGAAGATTTTTCAGAAGACAAAGAAATAAACCAGAATTTTCCACCAAGTGGAAAAATCAAAAGTGCAAGAACTGGGGAGTCTCCACTTGATACTCCAAATTTTTCTAAAGAAAAAGCTATTAATGAACTCCCACTCCATTCACTTCCTGAGAGGATCGACCAAGAAGTTTTTAAGCAACTTCCAGTAGATATTCAAGAAGAAATACTTTCTGGAAAATCTAGAGAAAATTTTCAAGGGAAAGGAAGTTTGAGTTGTCTGTTACATGCTTCTAGCAGATTATCTTTCTTTTCTAGAAAACAAATGCAAGATACTCACTCAGATCCTAGAGATCATTCATGCAGTAGCAAACAGGTATCCTCTGTCTCTCCCTGTGAACCAGGAACATCAGGCTTAAGTTGCAGTAGTTCCTCTTATCTGTCTAGCCAAAAGAATCATGAAGATGAACAAATGAGACAAGGACCTAAAGATTCTCAAGGTTTCCACTTTTCAAATATGAACCCTGTTGTATCTGTTGTCCATTCATTTCCAAATTTGCAAAGTGAGCAACTTTTTTCCAAAGACCATATTACAGGTAGCCATAAGCAGCCTGTAGCAAAAGTCTCTCAAGAAGGATGTATCGAAAATAGGCAGCAAAGTTCTGCTGAGGAGAAAATTACTTTTCCTTCTGATGTTGATCCTGAAGTTTTCTATGAACTACCAGAAGAAGTACAAAAAGAGCTGTTGGCTGAGTGGAAGGGAACAGGATTATATTTCCAGCTTGCACATAAATAGCTATGTCCAGAAAAAGAAAGATCTAAAAGGCAAGGGAAGTGCCATTGTTCTTAGATTAGCAACTTGTTATCCTCTTGTAAATTAAACATTAATAGATACTCGTAATGTAGAAATCTAGTGTACAGTGTTTCAGATAAGGCAAGAATTGTCACAGGAAGTAAATTCCTACACAAAGCATAAAAATATTCATAACAGATCATGTAAAATATTAATCTTATTTCTAAAGCTATTTTATACTGTTTTTCAATAAACATATCATGAGTCGTATTAGTTCATTTTCCATTAATGAGGAGGAAGATGTATATGCTGATAAAATAGGTTAACAAAATCATTGCTATGCTAATAGCAAAGAACAATTTTTTTTCTTTGAAATATGGAATAATTCACATTAGGAGACAGACAAATAAGAAATCCAGTTGCCAACTAATTTTTTAAAAATGTAGCTGTCTTTGATTCAAATACTACATACAATTTAGTGAGTTGATTTTTTAAAAATACCAAAACATTGCATGTTCAATTAATGCTTCTTGGTATACTGAGAACCTATTACAATGCCCAGCACACAGAAGGCACTCAATAAATATTGAACGAATTGTGGAACAGAGCCCAGGTAGGCAGTATACAGGCAGTGGATGTAGTGTGGAATAGAATGTTAGAAGGACCACTACATACAAGGAGATTAAGGGAAAGAGGGACACCAGAAATGCAAGGTAAATGGTGGATAATCAAACCACGTAGCCAACGTTTGGGTGTGAAAGCAGTGGATTAGCTGTCCTTTCATTTTGGGGGGGAGAGAGCAGCTCTTCTCTATGGCAGTATACAGTTGCTAAATTGGTAGATGTCCGCTCTCAGTGCCACTGTCTTCCCCTTTTGCCTGCCTGGTTCAAAATTGGATGTAAGGTTGAAGACAACCTTCCCTAGTCAGCAATATCAGCATCTTCTGAGAAATGCAAATTCTACAAATAGAAATTCCCTGGCCTTGTGTCCGGAAAAGCAAACTAGTTGCTGCTGAGTTTATTCCAGCTCATGGAGACCTAAGGTGTTGCAGAATACAGCTGTGCTTCATAGAGTTTTTACGGCTGTGACCTTTTGGAAGCAGATGACCAGATGCCAGTGGGTAGTTTTGGTTACTCGAGTGCTTAACCCACCCAGACCTAATTTAGACCTGCCTACTGAATCAGAATCTTTTCGAGATCATCACAAATACTGACTGATGCCTATTTCATCTTTGAAGCTAGTACCAAGAAACCAAGACTTAAGAAAGTGGCTTGTGTGTGAGTCAAGGATGCAGCTGAGACATGAGCTGGTAGTTTCCTGGTTTTTTTTCCTAGTTCTGTTCCTTTGTTGATTATGTATATTGTTAATATCTTTCAATAAGCAGGCGTTAATTACATACACACACACACAACACACATAAATAAGGAGCTCTGGTGGCATACTGCCTAAGGCATTTGACTACTAATGAGAAGGTTGGTGGTTCAAGCCCACTAGCCACTCCAAGGAAGGAAGATGGGGCAATCTTCTTCCATAAACGTTTACCACCTCGGTAAAGATTGAAGACTTAATTTGCAAGACATATCCTATGAAGCTATTTCTAGAACACAAGAAAGTATCCTATTCCACTGGTTTAGGGGAGAAACAAAGTCACAGTCCAGTTCTTAAGTTTATAGCCTTTGATAAAGGATAAAAACAAATGTCAATAGAAGTGGCAGGAGACCACCCCCGAGAGATGCACCCCCTAGATCAATCAACCACGAAACATCAGAAGGGCAGCATTTGTATGGGGGAAAGCAGGACAGACAGGAACGCATAGAGGAGGGCCCAAGGAAGGGCTAATCACAGGGAGGAGTGCTTTTTATGGTTGGGGATTGTAATTGGATCCTGAAACCAAATGTGTGAACTGTTGTGAGTAAAACATACTTGCATTGTAAATTTGCACCCACATCACAATTTTTAAAAAAAGGGAAGGGGTAACTGGGGAGGAAGTGGGAAGAGAGCTGTTGCATTGTGGGGATTGTGATCAATGTCATGAAACAAAATGTGTATGAACTGCTGTGTGGAAAATGAATTTGCTCTGTAAACTCACCCAAACACAATTTTAAAAAGTCATTGAATTGTACATGTAGAAATTGTTGAGTTGGTATATGTTGGTATGTGTGTATTTTCCACAATTAAAAACAAAAAAAAATAAATTACTAGAAATTTTAAAAAGCCATACTTGTCCAGAGACTCTCACAATGCTAGTACTTTTCAAACTGTAGGAAAACCAATTAAAAAATAATCAAAGCCAAGATAGGAAATGGTAGTGCTTATGGACACCAAATTTGGGGGTAGATAGAAGTCGAGCTTGTAATTGAAAATTGACTATAAATGTAAAGCTGCTTCTTTCCTTGTTTACCAGGTAATACTAAATATAAAACAGAAAGTGTAGATTATTTAAAAAAGAAAAGGCTTGACAAAAATAAAGTACGCAGTACAGCTATTGGTCTCTACTTGCCTGTAGCAGAAGAGAAAGGAAACCAAAGACAAAAAACAGTCTACAGAATCAATTGCCTACACCAACAAACTATGGCCTCACCAAAGATCAAAAGAACTAGATGGTACCCGGCTACCACTCCAGACCATTCTTATCAGGCCCACAATAGATGATCCTGGGTAGAATGGGAGAAAATTGGAGAACACACAAAAAAAGAAAAGGCCAGACTTACTGCAGTAGCAGAGACCTGGGGGACTCAAGAGACTATTGCTCTGTTAAACTTTGAACTGAAACTATTCCTGGAGTTTACCTTTCAACTAAGTCACAGATTAGCTCATAAACGACATCACCTATGAGTACTGTGCGCCATTTATGTTGTTGTTAGGTGCTCTTGAGTCGGCTCCAACTCAGCTGCTCCATGTACAACAGAACGAAACACTGCCCAGTCGCGCCAACCTCACAGTCCTTGCTGTTATTGAGCCCATCATCGCAACACTGTGTCAATCCATCTCCTTGAGGGCCTTCCCCTTTTTTGCTGACTCTCCACTTTACCAAGCATGATATCCTTCTGCAGGGAATGGTCCCTTCTGACAACATGATCAAAGTAGCCATTCTTGCTTCCAGCGAGCATTCCGGCTGCACTTCTTCCAGGACAGATCTGTTCGTTCTTCTGACAGTCCAGATTACTTTCAATAACCACCAACACCACAACTCAAAAGCATCAACTCTTCTCTGGTCTTCCTTTTTCATTGTCCAGCTTTTGCATGTATATGAAGTGATTGAAAACACCATAGCGTGGGTAAGGTGCACCTTATTCTTCAGAGAGACTTCTTTGCTCTTCAGCACTTTAAAGAGGTCTTTTGCAGCAGATTTGCCCAGTGCAATGTCTTCTGATTTTTTGCTGCTTCCATTGGTGTTGATTGTGGAACCAAGTAATATGAAATCTTTGACAACTTCAATCTTTTCTCCATTTATTATGATACTGCTTATTGGTCCAGTTGTGAGGATTTGGGGGGGTTTATTTTTTTATGTTGAGGGGTAATCCATACTGCAGACTGTAGTCTTTAGTCTTCAGAAGTAAGTAGTTCGAGTCTTCTTAACTTTCAGCAAGCAAAGTTGTGTCATCTGCATATTGCAGGTTGTTAATTGTTAGGCTGAAGCAAAACCCAGGCCCCAAAATGTCAGTTAGCAGCTTCCTCTAGATGTCAGGCCCTGATGAGACAACCTGATAAGACAACCACAGTAACAGAACCCACCCAGACTGTAAAGTCCCATGCAGTGACAGACTTCCTCTTCTGAAGCCCCCTCATGCTAATTAAGTGCAGACCCCTGCTAACAGCTAATTGAACCCTGCCATTTCCTTAAAGGACCCTGTCACTCCCCTGCTGTCCCCAAACAGGTCCTCTCTGTGTCTATAAAAATCCATGCCCCCTGCCCGGGGGTGTGACTTCTCTAGCCCTGCTGTTAGGGCATGAGAACCTCGCCCGGGAGCGCCAATAAATTGCTGCTCTAAAACAACTCCGTGTCCTGGTGTCTTGGTAACTCAGCTTTACATTAATGAGTCTTCCTCCAATCCTGATGGCGCATTCTTCTTCATATAGTCCATCTTCTCAAATTATTTGCTCAGCATACAGATTGAATAACTTTGGTGAAATGATACAACCCTGGTGCACAACCTTCCTGAATTTAATCCATGCAGTATCCCCCATGTTTTGTTTGAATGACAGCCTCCTGGTCTATGTACAGGTTCCTCAGGAGCACAATGAAATATTTTGGCATTCCCATTCTTCCCAATTTTATCTACAATTTGTTATGATGCACACAGTCAAATGCTTTTGCATAGTCTTGATACATGCTACAATATAGATGGAGCTTGGACACATTGTGCTGAGTAAAATAAGTCAACCACAAAAGGACAAATACTGGATGACTTGACTTATATAAAAAAGGTCATGTTCTGTAAAATTCATAGTGATAGCTCTTCAAATGTTATTTCTTCTCTGTTCTTCTAGGACTCTGATTGGACAAATGATGAACTGCCTTATTCTAACTCTCATGACCCTTACCTCTTATTTTCCAAGAAAACAGAACATCTTGTTTCTTTCTGTGCTACACTTTGGGTAATTTCATCAGCTCTTTGTCTTCCGGTTCACTAAGTTGTTTTTCAGCAGTAGCTCATCAGCTATTTAAAACATTAACGATGATTTTTAATTTCAGTTTTTATGTTTTTCATTTGACTCATTTTTCTAAGTCTTCCTGTTTATTCATTGCATAAACAAACAAACAAAATAACAAACACTGCCAACGAGTCATAATGACCCCTCTTTAGGTTTCTGAGGCGGTGTCTCCACCGAAGTAGATCGCCCAATCTTCCTTCCAAGGAGTGGATGGTGGGTTTGAACCTCCAGCCTTCTGGTTAGCAGTCAAATGCCTTAGGCACTATGCCACCAGAGCTCCTATTCATTGCATAGTCTCTTGTAAATCCATATCTAATTTCCATAAATTCATACATATTTTATATTCTATTTCTAATCATTTCATTATTTTAAGTCTTTATAAATCTAAATTTATGGCTATCATTGTATATTAATGTGGCTTGACTTTTTCTGTGTGTGACTTAATCTGTGGGAAGACAAAATACCTAAATTTTGGATGTGTTCCTTAGATATGATTTGCATTTGTTTTTTCTTTGAGGTGTTAAAGCAGCCCCTTGCCATCACTGTAGCCTCTTCAAAGCTCCTGCCAGAATGCAGTTGTCTTAGTTTCAGCACCTGCACTTTGCTA